AGGTGTTTAGCTGAGCATATGGAGAATGCTTTGAACACTGCATGTGGTTAGCTAGTTTGCAGCATGGAACAGACTTGGGAATCAAATCTCTTACTTTCACAGAAAGAAAAATGCTTGGCTGAGACTGGCAAGACAGCACATTCAGTAATTTGCATTGCTACGAAGGTCATAGGAATAATTAAGTGAAAAACAGGACTTCTACATTCACTCCAAGAGATTGATTTTTGAGACAGAGATACTTCCTCTGAATCTTGACACCTAAGAAATTTAGAAGCCCCTCCGGGAAAGGCAGTGGCCATTACGTGCCCAAAAGTTTACGAGACCTACAGATGGATTCACCTGTGTATGGAGGAAAGAGCAGAAGCAGAGACCGACTTCAGCTCATTAAAGAAGCAGAGGTAGGTGAGCTTTTTATTGTAATTCACTTTCCATTAGTACTTTTTGGAGGAGTGCTGTGAAGTTAGAAAGTACAAAGCATTATGTTCTCCAGAACATAAAAATGGCCAAGTCTAGCAAGACTTCCCAGCTGTTAATAGCCAAAGGCAACATTTTCTTCTAGACTATGGTTCTCCAGGACAACTGAAGACCTTCTCAGTGCTGTACCCTGCTTTGTTAATTCAATTAAGCTGATATTACAAAGGCAATACAAATCAAACCTAAACAGCCTCTTGACAGCAGTGATAGTGTTGACAGTCTCTTTTATGGGAGGAGGTTACCTGCCCAGGGGTAAAATAAGCCAACAATCAGGAAATATATGCAGTGCACTTCCCTTCTGCAGATCTCTGGTCATTAAGGACAACTGCTTGTCTCTACACTCCTCTAGCTAACAAATCTTTAGTCTGAATCATGCAAAAGCCACCTAAAATCATAAGAAAATCTAAAAAAGAAAATCAGCACAAAAAAAATGCCACAGGCATTATTTCCTGCAAGGTTGTGATCATTTGAACACTCCTCAGAGTCATAAGGGCCTCAATGTACACAGCTGAGGAAATAGCCCTGGATAACTCTGTATTCCCAGGAGACGTACTGAGTCGCCTAGTAGCATTAGGGACAGAAGCAATGGTAGCATTACTTAAGTGTGTGCAATTTGTTCTCCCTATCTTGATTTAAATTACACTGCCAAAAAGGACTGACTGTCTCTGAAATCAAATTGTTGAGCAAAGTTCATCTTTAAAGAGACAGAAAAACATCCAAATAACTGCAGTGCAAATGGTCTTGCAAAATGCACATACTGATGTGCGACAGTGGGGTCTGGGGCTAAGGAACTTTCATTAGGATAATGAAATTATGCTGGGCTAAACACCTAATGCCCTGTCAGGAAATAGGGCTTTGCACCACTGAAATTTGTACAACAGAGACATCAAGCTGCATCTCCTCTCAAATGCTAGAGGATGGAAGCTCCACCCTCGGCAGTCTCTGAGCTGTTCTAGCACCTTTACTTCCCCAGATCAGCACAGCCTCAGGATGATGGGCTTCTTAGGTTGCATGAAAACTTGTGTGTCCAGAGGCAAGGGGATCTGGAGCAGGAGGAAGAAAAACAAGAGCCATATGAGCTGGGAAAAGGACAGTCCTGACACTGGCAGGCCCCTTTTAGCCCACGTGTGTCTCAGCCACCCCTTGTTTTCAATGCATGTCCTGAGTTTACAGATCTATGTGTCACAGGAACAGCACTGCTGTTCACGTAATACCTACAGACTTGGGTTTTAATACTCCTCAGCTCCTGAATGACTTGGTTAGTCATTTCTGGCTTCCACACAGCACAGCTGGAAGAGCTCAGAGCAATGATCAACAGGATGAAGGAGGGAAAAGATGGATGCGAAGGCAAAAATGTCTAGCATCCATCCATGGAGGAGAAGCTAAGGAGGTGGCATGCAGTACTGTTGTGTTTAATGCTGAAATGTGTCAGCCCTGAGGGGAACTAGACCATAATGGGACCTGGAGGAGCAGTAAGCTCTCTGTGAGTAAAAAATTAGGAGAGTTGTTCAGAATTAACACCCACGAGAAAGGTCCACACAGAGGAAAGTACCAGACTCCCTTGGGACTGGGCTGGAAGTCCCCATTAAAAAAACATTTAAAACTCTTGATGGAAGGAGTCATGTAGCAGGGCAAGGAAGAGCTGTTTTAGTAAGTTTATTCCATTGATTCAGTACTGCTCATCTCCTTGCTCTCTTTCCCCTCATCAAGACAATGGCAATACATCCCCAACCCGACAAGGTGCATTAAAAGCCCCATATCCCAATAAACTTTGAATCAGGAAATTTAAGCAATGTGGCTCTAAGCCCAATGTGCCATCAGTGAAAGATTGAGAGAAGACTTCCATATACATACTCCAAAGAGATGTTCTGGGGTGATTTTTCCCCCTCCTTCTCTAACCTGCTACACATAATTTCTTCTTCTGAAGAAAAAAAAAAGGCTAAAAGAGCCCCATAAACCTATAGGCACCAATAATACAATACATATTTAACTTGTCTCCCTTTAATTAAAGGCAGTTATAAAAAGAATCAATTTTATGGATTGCAGAGGACTAGAAAAATGTCATTAGACTTGGGGGAGGGTGGATAGGTCACTGCATTGTTAATGGACTATTACAGTCTTTCACCTCCAGGTTACAAGTTGAGTTGCAATCTGAATCTGCAGAGATTCCAGCAGAGAGCTTGTGCCAAGTAATAATTCTGTGCATATTTTCCTGTCTCACACAACAAATGTCCTTTGAATTTGCCTGCTGCCCCCTCCGTTCCGATTTCCCAAGCACGCCTCAAGAACAAAATACATTAATTGGACAGTTTTTCACGGCAATCTGTGCAGGACGCCAGGTTGGGGCTAGAAACTGAGTGCCCACCCCCAACAGTTACACCTTTTGCAGTGTTACCTGCCTCTGAGTCGCAGGGAATTGCTGTGATTTTCAGGAGGGATTGCTTGACTTATAATTTCTAACAGCCGTTACATTTACTCTATATCAAACAGCCCCATCTCCCAGGACCTGCAGGACCTGCTCCATCAGTATCTGCCTGCAATATTCACAGGGATCCCAGGCAAAACTGGCAGGAGGGAGGGAGGGAGACTCTGCCCTGGTTTTCCTCCGCCTCCTGCATCTCACAGAGCCTTAAAGGGGAGAGGGGGTCATGAATTCAAATCTAGCTCAGAAACTGTTACCTTTTAGAGGCTGTTCATAGCCCAAGAGAGAGGACCTTGCTGTCTTGGGAGCTCTCATAGCTAAGAGCCACGGCTGCATTACAAAACACAGCTTCAGGGCACACTGGGTGGGCAGAGGAGGATATTAACTTTCTCCTATCTGGAACAGGGTTATCCTAAGCCAGGTCAAGGCAGTCTGGCTGGGGACCACAGAGAAGAGAACGTCCTGCAACTTAGGTGCATCAAAACCAGAGGATGCCAGGGATTTCACTCTGATATATTCCACCACCATTACATTTGCTTCTGTACAGACTTGAAAAAATATATCAGTAACTGGTATTGAACTATTTAAAATAACTTAAGCATTTAAATACAGATATTCTCATGTGCCTCTCTAATCCAGAGTAAAATCTTCCTCCCTGATCTCTGCGTGAAGTAGTAAAACCCAAGTCTACAGACAAGGTTCAGTATTCCTGAAGCTATCAGTCTCTGAACTCCTCAGGGAAGAGAGAAATTTAATGTGCATGTGGAACGCTTCCCTATTTATCCCAAGATGTAGGTGAAAGAGAGCACATGGGACCACCTCAGTGGGACTAAAGTGCAGATCACGAAAAACTCCAAGCCCATATTCCCACCCGAGTATCTCTGCAGGGTTGGAAAGAGAAATCTTGCACCAGGACAACCACAGCCACTTTCAGAGTGAGGAGGGCAAACCTCATCCCTACACAGTTCCTGGGGCCAGCCCCAAATGGCAGGTAGGTATAGGGGTCAATAGACTCTTTGTTCTCTTACTGAACCTGCCCACAAAAAATAAATAAATAAAAATAATAAAGTTAGGAAGAGCTACTGTTCCAGGAATGTCAGCTTTCAGATCTGAAATGATGTAGGGTCTGGGAAGACAAAAGATTTTTGCATTTTTGTGCATATTAGGAGAATCCAGCTAAGCCCCTTATTTCTTTCTTAATGGCCATCTTATGTGACTGCTTTTAGCTTGCTTGGAGTTTGCTGCACCTCTCTGGGTTCCTCGGGAGAGCAGGAGAGACCTGAAATATGCTAATGGTTTCATAGCGACTCTTCTCTCTAAACTCCCGTTCTCAGCTCAGAACCTGAACCTGGATTTCAAGTCCTAAAACACACATTTCTACAGCTTCACGTCTTCTCTTTAAATCAAAGGATTAAGCAAACACAAAGATGTTCTTTCTCTGTGTGACTAAAAGAGGGGTTGCTTTTGAGACATGCCAGCCATTCCTTTCCTCATCATGAAAAACAGGGCAGAACAATCAACTTCATAGAGAAATTTGCCACTGAGCATTTTCAGTAATACTCCATCTCAGTGATCACTTGATTTTCATGCTATAGGGCTTTTTATTCCCAGTACATGAGGTCTGGGTATAAACCTTAGTCACATTAGTCAGCAGTGAAGTATCTTGCTCATCCCTCTGATCTACTCACAGTGGGATAAGCAATCCCTACAGAGTCCAGCTACAAATGCACTTAGTGATATGGTGTAAGGATGGAGCTGCTGGAGCAACCTCAGTGAAACAGGAGAGTGCTCCCATTTGGGTGATTCCTTCTGCAATCCACACAAGGCACCTAGGCCATAGGTATGGGCCAGGTAGGATCACCAAATCACCAGTTATTATCACCAAGCCAACACGAGATGTGTGGCCCACAGGGATGTGGTGCTTATACATAAAACCTACACAGGACCATAGATGTGAGTCCAGAGCAGGTACAATCACCATTGCTGCAAACAGAGTCTGTCTGGAGGATGTGATTTCAGCAGCATTTCCCTGAATTCTGCCTGCTTTGCCCCAAATGAGCTCGCAGAACACATTTCAACCCAAGGCTTTTCTACCAAGGCATTTGAACACCTGGTCTAAGGACACAGACCTGATCCTCTGAGCCACCTCAGAGTCAGAAGGTCTCCCAGGTCTGTCCTGGGCTATTCCCTCCTTTCTCAGGGGCTGACAGAGGCTCCTGAGCAAGGACTGTTTCATAACTTGAACTGAAAAATTATTTTTTATTTCCTACACGTCTTTACCCTTCCAGTGCTGATTTGCATGGCACTGTGCCAGTCACCCAATGGCTCTTGTTTTAATATCTGGCTATAAACCCCTCAGTGTTACAGCTGCTGGGAGCTGGTCGCGCTGTCGTTTTCTTCAATACAGTTAATTAAATTCCGTGCACAGTTTATGGATGTAGATCATAAAACTCCCCTCATGGTAATGCTGGGACTAGATGTCAGACAATGATAAATGCCTAATTTAAATGTTATAATCATGCATTCCTCGCTTTCACTGCCATTCCTACTCCCAAGACCCAGGTTGAATGCGTGGCTATTTCCCCAGCTTGGGCACCTCTCAGGCCTCAACTCCTCTGGCTGAGGCCAGTGAGCTGGGTCATGATGCATCACATAGGCAGGGATCACCACCACCACATCCTTTGGAATTACTTACTCCATTGATCTCCATGGTCTCCTTGCAGACTCTTTCCATCTGTCCCCCTGAGGGGAAGAGCCGGAGGGTTTTGCTCACCACCATGTCGAGATCCTCCATCTGCACGAGCGCGTTGGATGCCGGGGTAGCCTGGGGAGGGCAGGGAGAGGAGAGTCTCGGATCTGCCAAGGCTGCCTTGATAAGTGAGCCCAGCAGGCTGCACCAAACAGACCTGGAGGTAAAACCGCTCTACTCCATCATCCCCTTGAAGACTGCAGCTACCCCAGACCAAAGGAGAGTTTCAGATCCACCAAGGCTGCCTTGATAAGTGGGCCCAGCAGGCTGCACCAAACAGAGCTGGAGGTAAAACCGCCCTGCTTCATTCCCTTGAAGACTGCAGCTACCCCAGACCACTCTTCTCCTACACCTTAGGCCCACTTCAACCCCACCCCAACATACACCTCATGCTCCCCCTTCAGGTGTCAAGAGCAGCTCTAGAAGGTGAAATTCTACAATTTTCACTCTGATGGAGGCCCAGAGACAGGCATGAAGTCACTGGAGGAAGTATGAGAGTTATCAACAAGTGCGGCTGGAGTCTCTTTCGCAACAAGTGACTGTTTTTGATTTTAGCTTTGCTTTTGGCTCAGAGTCTACATGACAGAGGTGGAGAAGACTGTGGCATCTCCCACCCTTCTTTACCTTGTTGCACAGATTTGCATCAATCTCATCCTGAAGTTGCTGCTGCACATCGGGGTAAGTGGCCAGGTTGTACAAGATGTGGAAGGAGGGAGGTGGGAGTAACCCTGTGAGGGTGGAACTGGTGGTCTCATAAGCAGCAAAAACAGAGATAAGAGCCTGGGCCAGAATCTCCTCATCACTTAATGCTAAAAAGAGATACAAAAGCACAGGCAAGGAGCTAAAATCTACAGCGCAACACTGATTATCATCAGAAATTTAGCATCCTACTGGTCAGTTTAGGCAACTCTACTGATAACTGCTTTACACCTAGTAAAGAAAACATCCAGCTGACACAGACTGAAAGCTTCTGGCACCCGCAATGTGGTGAGTCCAGCACTGATGTAAAGCCAGAAAACTGCTGTAGAACTCAGCAGTGTTACATGGCTATCTTTAAGATAAAATCAAACCACTGAAGTTACATGCACCCTGAGTCTCTGTTAATTGCAGTCTGGAATTGTGTACTCAGGCAACAGTAAGTTAAAAAATATGGGCAAGTGCCAGAAATAGAGATGAAGAGATGTCCAGCAGTTCCTCTAAGCTCAGAGATGAACCACGCACAGCTGAGAGATTAATACAGTCCTGCGCATGGTGTAACAGTGGTAATAACAACAGTACAGGATTTAGCACTGCTACTGCAGTGCTGCGAGGATGCAGCGGGCAGTGCAAGGTGCCGTACACAAACTCTGTCCTTGAATCTCAGAAGTTCACAATTTTACAATAAGTTTAAGGACATACTGTCTTTACAGAGGGAGGTAGACTACACTGTGCCTTGGTTGAGCCATTATTCTCTGACTCTAACAATTTTCATAGGATAAGCAATGCAGGAGCTCACAGATGAACAAGATATATATGCATATGTGTTTTGTGTGCTTCATGAAACACAAACATCACTCACCTTTGGGGAAGGAAAAGTAAGAAACAGCAGAGTAAGGAGACATTCATCCTATTTGCTGTCTGTTGGATGAACAACCCTCATGATTTGTCCCAGGAATTGAGATATAACCTAATATGATTGACATGCAGCAAGTATTGGTACTGTCCAATACTGAGGCCCTGCATCTCCCATAAAATTAAGAAATAAAATCCATTTCTTTCCTTCCTTCAACCATGGAACAGCCCTTCTCACTTCTGAGAGGAGAACAGATCTAAGGATGTACTTTTATACGAGTTGTTCTCATTTGCAGGGTCAGAGTTGCCATCTGAGCTCTGTGAATCCACCATGAGTTGCAGGAAATCCACCCGGCTCTGGGAGGAGGAGATAGTCAAATAAGACATGGATGAGGATGAAGACAATCTTTGTTCTACTGCACATTCCTCTCTGACACGTCAGTGCCTGCCCCTTTCGCAGCCCCACCAACTGCAGCTTCATGGCTTCAGAGCGCACTGGGTTCAGACATGATTTTGACCTTCCTCAGGTTCAACAAGGTATTACAGAGGGTAGGAGATGTGCTACAGCTCCTGAATGCTCTTCCTTCACTCAGAGAACGAAGAGAAAAGGACATTTGGTCTGCACTCACCTTATAGCTGCCCTTTTGCAGTCCCTTCTTCATTTTGGCGAAGGTGTTGAAGAAGTTCATGACTTCTGGGGGTAACAGAGTCAAATTCCTCCTCTCCAGCCCTGGGATAGGGAAGGGGAACAGCACTGAAAGGAAAGAAAAGAACAACATATTTTAGTTCAAAGGAACCCAAGAAACTCAAAACTGGCCTGGAACATAGCATGGAGACGAACAAATCTGGACTTTGACCCAACAAGTGGCTTTTCTGTGCCTCCAGCTCTAATTATACCTAACAGGTCTGAGTTGGCACTTGCAAATCTCCTGAATTTATACCACTGTACCACCTCAGTGCAACACTAAGTGCAGTTCTCTTCGAGCCAGAGTACAAGCTCTCCATCTTATCTCTGCGAACAGGTTTCCTGCTTGTAGGAGGATGAAGCAAGGACCCACATGGGTTGTACAAATATCCCTGGGGAAATATTTCTATGGACTTACAAGGATGAATCAAATACTGCAAAGTGCTGAGGACCTCCTAGAAGGTAAATAAGCCCCTGAACTACTAAGGGAGCTAATAGGAAACGAAAGTGGTCATCACTTTGGACACCCATTTAGAATCATGTGGGATGAAGTATGCCATATCCATTACTAGGACCAGAGGATGTAAGAAACTGATTTTGAGAAATTTCTTAATGTTGGTGACAAAGGGGTCACTGGGATTATTAACGGAGTCAATATTCACACTGAAGGATGTACTGGCCACCACATCTATGCTACAGGCTCCAAAAATACAAAGTAAAGGAAAAGAAAAAAAAAAAAGAAAAAAAAAGAAAGGGATGAACCCAGCAGGACCGGAGAACAGAAGCCCTTCTAGGAACAATCCTTGAGAGAGAGAATTTCTCTTAATCAAGGACTCAGTGCAGAGTCCTGACACAGCAGGTCCTGTCCCGGCTTGACAGTAACCATTTTTCAAAGTTTCCTCAGTTCCATTCATGACTCTCTTTTTTTTCAGCTTCAAAAATCTAGGTTATAGATGGAAACTGATTGAACTGCAACCCAGGGCAATAAAGATCAGATTCCAATTTTCATGCGTAAAACTGAGTGTAAAAAACAACATCCAAAAATACCATGTCTACAGCATGAGGGCCCGACTCCTTCCTCAAATTGTGATCTGCCATCTCACAGTGAGTAACTCTTTGGCTTGTGGAGAGAGCATTTCCAAGCCATAGATACCTTCTCTGACCTTAATAACTTATCTATGGAACTCATACAGCTATGACTGAACAAGGGTGCTCTTTCTTATATGTAGCTTCTCCTCCAGGTAAGCTGCCAACACAGCCCTCAATTACAGAGACTTAATGCAGGCTGCAGCCCTCCAGGCTCCAAGGCCAAAAGGCTCTTGACATACGAGGAATCAGCCCTAGTTCTTCTTCACATAAACAACAGCCCTAGTTTTGCTCCTGCTACTGCTGCAAAGTCCCAGTGTCCTTCCCTTTACCTCCTTCAACTTCTCACTGCTGAAGGCCGGGGATAGCACAGAGTGAATCCTTCTCCACTGCTCATCTTCAGAGATGCTGACAGCTGATTCCAGACTTCCATCCAGATGAAAGTTCTGCAGAGGGAGAATTTAGAGCAAAAGGGATATCGTTAAACAGGGAGGTGTATGGAACTTTTCAGCCACCTTCCACATGACAGTTACAGCAGCTCTGCCTTAACCAGCAAAGAGCAGAAAAGGAAACAAAAGGCTTAAAAGTCATAAATAACATTAATTCTAGGGTACATCCAGACTAAGGCTACCAATGTGCCTGCTCTGTTGGCCTCTACACTTCACAGAGTTGCTTCATCTTTACTGCCAGCAGAACTGGGGCACATCACAGTGTGGACACTTGCCAAGGGGCCCAGAGTGGCTCCACAGCAGGAAAGGAAACCAAGAAGAAACTTCCTTCATTGCAGCGTGCACCACAGAGGAAAGCTCTGCACTAGCTACCTACCCAGTGGTTGGCAAAAAGTGCACAGCACTCCTTCACCAGGATGGTTTCGATGAGCACAGGGTCCAGAATGACTAGCACAGGCTGCCTGTCATCAAAAATCCTAGACCAAGAGAAAACCAGGATCAATGTGCTGGGCAGAGACACTTGGAGCAAACACAGCCTGGTTTGTCTGTGGTCAGAGCAATGCACAAAAAGTGGCCAAGCCCAAAGGATTCTGAGCCAGTTGAGTCCTCTCTGGCAAAACAGATAAAGAGACGAGGCTGAAACTCTCATTACGGAGCAAAATAGGAGAAAGGGGAGAAAGATGGTGCCAAGCATAGGCAATGTGGGCAGCTCTACATATCAGCTGTGTTATTAAAGAAGAGTTTCCCAAGCAGTGGGTGCTTTGATAGAAGGGCTCTCTGCTGCAGCTCTCATCCCCTGCATTTGTGCTGTCTGGAACCTGCAGTCGATAAACCAGCACGGAGTGGCTTAGCTGTGGGGTGAAGAGATTTCCTTGCATAGCAGATGAAGCAATGAAAGAGGAAAAAAAGCCTCCTCCGTGGCCTTGTTTTTCAGTCAACGGAGACAGAAACACTTTAAAACCCTGGTGCGGGTCGAAGCGCCAGGAGCCAAGAGCCACAGCCAAGGGAGCTGCCACCTTCAAGAGGCTGGAGACCATTTCATCTTCTAAAACAATGTGCTGGGTTTCCTGGAGCCTCCAGGGCTTTCGTGCAACAGCTTTGCTTCAGTTTCAGAGGTTCCCAAAAGAAGCCTGATAAGAGGCCTGGCATCTGCCCACACAAAACCAGTTCCATGCACGGAGCAGGCTGGAAGGTGCCTCCTGCACCCGTGCTGGCAGAGGCAGGGAGCAGGATGAAAAGCCCAGCAGCAGCCTGCAGCTCGTTCTGCCCAACACAGCAGCTTCAAAGACTCAGTTTGACACCAAGCACTCGAGCTTTCCGGGCAGGCAGCACGGTAGGGAAATGATCGGAGCCTTCCCTTGTGGCATTCCAAACTGAGGGATGAACGTTTGGCTGCGCGGGGTTGACGGAGGTTGGAGGGCAGTGGGGAGCTGATGGAATCGGACACGTGGACTCTCTGTGGTGCAATTTCCCTGGCCCCAGGGTCTCCAACACTGTTGTAGGATTTTGAGCAGGCCCCAGAGGAGCAGTGCTGTTTATTTTCAAAGCTTATGGAATAAAAGAAGGCCAAAGCAGGCTTCGTCATCCCACCCTTACACTGCACTGAAATCCCAGCAGGAGAAGAGTCTTGGAGAGGGCTGTCGGGAACCCATTGGGGAACTCAGATTTCCCCACGATTCAGCTTGTCACTGCTGGAATTAAACTGCTGAGACTTGGTGGCAACATGCCTCTGCATGGGTGACAACATGCTAGTTTTAGGCTGGGGAGTACCTCAAATGAGGCATATTTTGTTCTGTAGCAAGGAACTCACCCCCAGATTTTACCATATTTCTCAAAGCATTAAAGCACTTCTGATCAAAATCTGTGACTCCCTGCAAAAGAAAAAGAAAAAAAAAAAGGAGGAATGAACAGTTTGCAAGTGAGCAGTGATCAAAACCAGTCACAGCTTGCAGTCTGGGGGATCCTGAGGACCCATGGCGAGCGGCAGAGGCTGCATGCTGGCTCTTAAGAGCCACGTTGATACTGAGGGGTGATCTGCACAGGAGGGAAAAAAGAGAGGTGAGAAAGAAAACTGCACTTTCAACTCCCACTAGCCGGCCTGAGCTAAGAATATAATGAAGCCAAGGTATGAAAAGATGGATCATTTCAGCACGAGGAAAGGTAGCAGGCAGAACTAGATCCCAGGGTGCCCTTCCCTTTCCAGCTCAACAAGCCAGAGCTGCAACTACCTATTCCTCATGAGATCTCCAACCGCACTTAGTGAACCGCAGAGATGACGGCCTTTTTGTTTGGTTTTGTTTGCATTAAGGTTTTCATCGATGTTACATGGAAGGATGTAACATGGGACGTGTAACGGCACCAGGTATCTGCTAAACCATTACTGAGCTCGTGTGCAGGCAGCAAGCCCAGCAGACATGAGCTGTTAATGCACCTCTTCCATTGAGGTTGAAGCTAATGTGTGTCGACCCGGGTTTGCCCAGCTAGTATCTAGGTATTTGAAAGGTCTCATAACTCAATAATTGGTTTTATTTAGAAATCCATTCATCCCGTCTAGGTTCAGGACAGACAAACAGCAAGTGGCTAAACAGGGCACTGCTGGGGCTAGTCTCAGCCTCTTTGTGGCTGAGAGAAAGCACAAGTGTTCACAGAAATCACTTACTTTTCACAGAAATTCTCGGCCTTGTAATATTTTGTGTTCTCTGTGTCTCCAGAGAGTTTCCTAACTAAAAAAGCAACTTCCATGAGCAGGGGAAAGAGAAGGCCAGAGCACAGGGAGCACAAGGCTGGCTACGAGGAAGAGCCCGGAGTGTCAGTGGAGCACAACTTCCCATCACTCACGTGCCGGCACTCCAGGAACATTCCCAGAAAAGGCAAGGGCCGTGGGCCAGGAATACTCAGCTTCTTGAAGGTCCAAAAGGGCCATATCCCATAACTGCCAAGGAAAAATGATATGTGAGATACGTCTATGTGGTAAGAATAGAGGGTGGTTCACCCTGCAGGCAAGGAGTATCTTAAATAACCATCTCTGCCAGCTGGAGAATACGGAAATGATGGACTATGCAGCTGGCCTGCTAAGCATAGTCTGTACCTGCAATAAACGTGCGGTCATTTGAGGACCATTTGCAAAAGGAGAAGTGACTCCCCTTGCACGAACGCTCACCATCCTCCTAGGAGGAGCTGCAGCCCATCCACTACAAACCCACCAGCTGCTCCAAGCAGGGATCAGGGGTCCAGGGATCTCACTACATTGTTCGAGTCAGAGGGCTTGGACTTAGGTGACTGACAGAGGCCTCAGAGGGATTCAGTTTGCACACCGAGACCTGCCTCGGTGCTCGTCTTGGTGCGAAGCTCCGGTGGCCGAGTTGCAGGAAAACCAGCAAGGCAGGGGCATAAATCCAACTGCAAAATTAAGTTTGTGCCTGCAGAGCTCCCTACAGCTCCTCAGAGTGACATAAGCAAAAGGGCAATTTTGCCAGCATAACTGCTGAAATTAGGACTTCTACATTTTCCTCTCTGAGCCAGAAAGACAGCTGGGGAGACCCCATTTCCTTTGCAGCCAACCAGAGTTTGCTGCAGCAAAAACACAGACAGTATTTGGCCTTAGATCTATGTAGAAAAGCACAAAATGAGGAGTTATTTTTTTAGTCCTAAGTCCAGTTTCCTCTTTCTCCTTTCGAGCTGACCCAGGAAGGGCATGCGGGAAAGCTCCTGCTGGCAGGTTTCTCCTAGCAAACAGCTCCTTGTCCTTCCCTAGCCCTTATCTCTGCCCCTGGAGGGCCAAGGATCCAGTTTTCATGCCAGCAGCACAAGCACCGCTTCCCTTTCCATGTGTCCCAGCTCCAGCTGCTCCCCGGGCGCCAGCACTTTTCCATTCCCCGGGCCCCACTGCAGGACCGGCCTCTACTTACAGGAGCAGGAGGCTGAAGAAGAGGATGAAGAGCAGCCAGGTGACTAGGGCAAGCTCTGGCAGGAAAGGCATCGTGCTGGAGTGCAGATCCAGTCCAAAATCCCAACCGCCACCAGGCACTTTAACAGCCCCAGGCACTCTCACATGACCCAAAGCAGGAGGTTTCTTCCTCGCTCCCTTGCTCAGACTTTAACCCTTGGGCCGGTTTCTCCCTGGACTGAGACTTTAATAACATGTCCAGCTCTAGTGGCTTTAAACTGCTAACAGGATAATTTTCCCCAGGGGAAAAGAGCTATTTTCACCATAGCAAAGAGATTGACCTTGCTTAACTGTTCCCTTCTCACCCCTTACCCTGAGATGCACCCGGGGCTCACAGGGAGCTTCCAGGTGCTTGTGCTGACTGTGTGAGCGGTGCCTCTTTGCACGCTGCCGGCTCCGTGCTCCCTTGGTTTGCTCGGCCCTTCCCCAAACACGGCATCGTCTTTGGTCTCTGCAGTATCCCAGGGCAAGGAGTCCCACTGACAGCAGCACTACGCAAAAAATGTGGTGTCCCCCAGCCCGCTGTCCCCTGCTCACCTTTGGGGCATGTTTGCGCTCCTGCTGTACTTTCCTCAAGGAAGATGGAGCAGGGTGAGGAGCTGATTTTCCCTTTTGCATCTGGGCTCCTCTCAGCATAGGCCGGATCTCCACTGGAGGTACCAGGTCCGTGCTCCTTGCAGCCCAGTTTGGACACCGGTGGCTCTGGTGATGTCTGCCCACGATGAGGGCATCCAGGCGGGAGGCAGCTCCCTGGCTCCGCATCGGTGCCAAGGACCCGAGGAGCCCTGGGCGCAAACACCACCATGCAGAGAGGTCACCCACACGCAGGGTCCTGCACTCAGCACTGGCATTTCCAGATGGGTTCCCATTCCCCCCTGGCTTTCTGCTTTGCTTTAGGGCCTGAGGTCACACAAGATGACTTTTGCTGTTGTTTGTCTTCAGGAAACTGAGCGTCCCCCCACAAGCCCCGGCCGCTTTCTACCGGAAAAACAGGGAAAACACATTAGAAATCCCAGCCGAGCGGAGAGCCGGGCATCTGTCTGGCAGAACTGCAGCACCGTGAAGCTCACGGCTGCTGTGGATGGTTCCTAGAGCAGACGGCGAGATGGGGGGCAGCACCACTCTCTTCGCTTGGTGCCCCGGCCTCCCCGGGGCGCTGGGGCTGACCCAGATCGAGGGCGACGCCGCACGAGCTCAACCAGCCGCAGAGGAGCCGGGCACCCGGCCACATGGTGCCCCTTCGCGCTGAGAACGGAGCCGCGTGGCCGGAGCCCGCAGGAGACCCCAGCGCCTCTGTAATTAACTGCCGCTTAGCACGAGGCAACCGCATCCACACACTGCCCATGGGCTGTCCGGGGTGAGGAGCGTTTCTGTCCGTGCCCAAACATCGATCTTGATCTCCCCACCACAGCAGGTGCCAGTGCAGGGGGCACCATCGCAAGTGCCCGGCTGGAAAAGGAGGGCAGCGGCTCCGCTGTTTTGGGGAGGACCAAGCGTCAGACGTGCCCAGCTCCTCAGGGCCACGATGTGCTTGATGACTCGTGTAATCGGGGACTGACAGGAATCAATTAGCC